GGTTAACAAAATTGGTTTGAAACCAATTCGCTGGCAGGCAAAAGCAACTGTAGAGTAGCATTACGGGCGGCGATAATGGAGGCCTGTTAGCCGTCATTAGCCAGCCACACCCAACCCGAGGTATGCAATCCCTGAAGCACGAGCTTGCGATCTGTTGACTAGAATTCAAACGTCATGACCGTGGGTCGCTGGTTCATTGTCCCATCGATTGTCCTGTTTTGTTGTTGTATCCGGTTTTTTTCTTTTGAGTAATCAATTCTACCACTTAGTATGACGCAACCTGCACAGTCAGTGGCACAGGAGTTTGTTTTTTAAAAATCCTCTTGCTGAAACGCCGGTTGTTTCAAAAGTCTTTTGAAGTTATGAGTATTTTCGTAGGCTAAAAGTATGTGCCTGGAAAGCTTGTCTCGTTTTGTCTTTCTTCTCGGAAGTGATGTGTTTTTGTCCCCAGTCCGTGTAAAACAGACTCAGATAGCTCAGAAGATGCGATTACTGGGGCAAGAAGCCTATTGGTCTGAAGTTTCGGATCCTCATTCGAACCCATCTTCAGAGACAGTCGCAGACAAGGGTGGGGAAGGCACAGGCACTGCAGTATTTGTAGTGGGGAGGGCGGGGGCGGGCAAATATTCCAGTTACAGTGGACCAAATTGTCGAGTATTCATCACTCCGATTTCCAGCACGGATGATGCAATTGCGGCAACTGACGACCCGAGTCAGCACCACATCAATTACGAAACTCAGCGGCGACCGCGAGAGCTGTTAATTATAGTGAGCATGTGGTCGTATGGCAGCTAGGCCCTATAAATATTACAGTCTTTGTGCCTTCCCTACCCCCTCATATACGACTGTCTCTGATGATGGGATCGAGTGAGAATCCGAAACGTCAGGTCAATATCGATCCGGAGCTCTTACGTTTGCTAACCTGAGCTCAATAAGCATATTTTTACAGTGATAGCATCTTCCTCTTCTTCCGAACTGCTTCCTGGAACTCGCCTGTTCGCTTCTATGGGCACTCACAGAGCTACTCACCTACAGTCAAGACACATTCTTTTGGAGTTTGGCATGAACCCACTGCCCCCGCGGATACCTCACCACCCTTTTTAGGCAGGTTGATACGGACTCGGGGGCGACGAGGCTAGATCACAGAGCTAACACAGACGGTTCTTATGCCCATTTAATGTTCACAAAAAAGACTATCTATGACCTACAACAAAACGATCGCTTTTGCATTTTTACTGGTAAGTACAAATTTCAATTGTCATATATTCAGCCTCAGGTGAAGGGTTGAAAGGTGTAGTCGCTTTTTGCGTCGTGCAAGTGCAGGAAAAATTTGTCAATGCCAGCAGTTAGTCCAAGCTGATGAGACCATTTTTTGATTGGACAATGTGAACTTGTAACGTGGTTAAATAGGTCTTTTTCCTTCCCGAGGCCAAGCAGTCAGGTTACGTGACTCCTGCAAACCAGCCGCGTTGTGGCTGGCGTGAAAGTGGTTAAGCGGCAGGTGAAAGTGCATTCCAGTCGTTTTGGCCGAGTCTAACCGCTAAAAAACCGTGTGTATGTGGGCGCGAGAATAAAGACTTTAACCATAACTCCTCGTCTTTCTGACCCGCTGTTGTGTTGTTGTAGGTTAAACATCCTGGTCGAGTGTTTGATATGGACCGGGGGGTGTGGTGGTACGCCTAGGTGCGTAAGAAAAACTGTGTGTGTGTGCGTGCGTAGGAATAGAGACGTACCCCCTAAACGGGCCACATGGTAGATGCGCTGGACCAACACGGAGCCCAACACGGATCCTGGCCCCATTCGCGCACCATAACAAATGTCAACATTTTGGGGTGCAGTGACAAACCCGGTTGCCAGCAGACGTCGCACACACTGGGACCCCTGCCATCCCCCCCCACTTGATGGTCAAAAACCTGGTCATTTGCTGCGTGGACCAGAGGGTGTGGAGTGGAACGCCAAGGTGCGGGCTCGACCGTGCCATCCACCTGCGTCCTCCCCGCCTCCGGTCTTCTTGACACTGTCTTGACACCGAGGCTAGGTGGGGGAGGAGCGAGTGCGGTAGGTGCTTCGCAAGTCAACTACCACTATAAACTAACTCACGCGCAATTCACCGTGCCTGCTCTCAGCACACTGTGGAGCCCACCGTGGGCGTCGTCGGAAACGACGGGACTAGAGACTTTAACCATATATCCTCCTCTTTCCGATCCGTCGCTGCGCTGTTGTTGGCTAAAATCCTGGTCAAGTGTTTGCTATGGACCAGTGGGCGTGGTGGTACGACCAGGTGCGGATACGGCCGTGACAGCCACCTGCGCTCTCTCCCGCCTCCGGTCGTCTTGACAATGTTTTGACATCAGGCTCACGTAGGAGAGGAGGAGAGCGTGAGGAAGATGCTGCACAAGTCCACTCCAACTATAAACTAGTTCACGCACAAGTCACCGTGCCTTCTTCACCTCACTGTGGAGCAACAGTGGACGCCGTCGGTTGCGACAGTCGAACTGCCGGTAATAGTGGCTACGATCGGATCATATTTCGTAGTCGTACCTGCAGTTAACAAGCCCCAACCTAACCCCAACCCCTAATTCTGACCTCTTACCCCTAACCGCAGCCCCTAACCCCCTAGCAGGTACGGCCACGAAATAGGATCTTGCCGAGGCTACTTTTGATGAAGCACAAGTCTCCCTCACTACAATCCACCTCACGCCCATTCATCATCGCCGTTTCGATGGGCAAACTATGTGGCCCCGCAAGCGCAGATTTCCTTTGCGGCCTTGCGAGAGTGAGAGTCTACCCAGTGGAGTGCACTTTCACAGTCTTCCGCAGGATCCTCCTGAATAATGTGTAAGTTCAATTCATTATTCCTTTTCACCCCACCACAGAAGAAAGACCGGAAACCGTCCTTGTCGCTATCTTTATTGACTTTGTTAGTCACTGAACGAAAATTGGCACTACAAACGCAAACAGATGCTGCTAGGTGGTGATTGCAATAATTATAATCGCATTGGAGGCGACAATGGTTACAGTACTTTGCGACGGTACAACATAAAATTGATCAATAACATGGGCGTAGAGGGCAGGGGTTGAATGAAGCCGTGGAACATGCGAGACGCGGAATACGTCAGCTTGAAACGACGAATAGCTCATACAGAAAAGTTGTCTGCGT